GAAATCTAAAATATAGAATTTTAAATTAAAATGAGCTGTCCAAAACGGCAAAGTAAGAAAATTGCCTTAAAGGGTATGTATACAGGATAAAGAAATTATAGAAAAATGTTTGATATGACATTATTTCAAAATAAATTATCATCTCATATGGACTTTTGCTTTGGCGTACTAAATGAACAATTTAATTGTTAAAGTTAACTGCGCAATTATTTCACTGTCTCCCTTGCAATTAAATCCGAAACATCACAATATTTTCTATCTTTTCAGTGCATAAATTCTGCTGGCTGAAAATAGTGATCTTCTCAAAGAAATTTCATTTGAAGCATATGAAAAGAATAAATTATTCGAGTCGTATCTGTGGATTTACTTGACTGGATCTCATGCGCATATTTCGCAGAAATGCGAATATTTTCTTTGTCTCCAAAGTATGAAATATGCGGACTGAAAAGTAAGAAACTCCTGAGAGAGATTTTCTTCGAATAATTTAACAAATAAAATAGCCATTAATTTTTACTTCCTTGTACGAAATAAGAAGGAAGTATTGTAATCGCAAAAAATTTCAGGCAGCATATTTCAACGAAAATATCCATTTTGACCCCTATGAATGCAATTTAACGATGTTTTTTCGTGGCATCTGTACGTAAAGACAAAATAAGACACTTTTTCTCCAAAAACATTATAGAACTGCTTTAAAATTAATTCTAAAGAGAATTTTTCCTGTCGTCTGTACGTACGTATTTATGTACATATGTACGTACGTATCTTGCATAACTCAAAAACGAGTAGTCAGGACGTTGAAATTTTGTATATAGAACTGCTATAACATGTAGATGTGCACCTCGTATTTTGGTTGCAATTGGCTGAATCAAACTAAAATTAATCTTAGGAGAAAATATAATCAATATTTCTTTAGTAAATAAATTATTATTAACTTACTTTGCAGCTATTGCGCAAGTAGTAGAATAACTTGATTTCGCACTAAGTGAATTTAAGTTCATACAACATTTAATATATTTATATATATATCCACTCTGTTGCCGGGCTCAGTGATCTCAGTTTCTGTACTCTTATATGTATGTAAATTGTGCATTTGTTGATTTAAAAATGATTGAATTATGTTGTTCTTATCTTCCGGTTAACGTTTTTATGCCTTTAGTAAATCTGCATGCAATGTTTTTAGAGTTATCAACAATTTAAAAGTTGTTTAAGTGCGGCTAAGCCTAATTATTTTTGCGATGTTGGCGATGTTTATTTGGAACACATTTAAAACTTGGAAGAATAGCGAATTTGTTGCCAATCTAGAGAAACTAAGCTTCGCAACAACAAAGATAACGCCTTCTTTTATTATTACGAATTAAATCATACTTAATCCAATCTGGTATTTATTCGAGGAAATACGTGTTTAAAATTTAATTCGTAATTTTTAATATAGATATTTTGAGTTTTTGTGTATTTTTGCCTTATTATTTCATGTATTGTTGCGAAGTAAGAACTGAATTAATTGAATGAGAAATACTAAGTCGTCCGAGAGAAACTGTTTTTTCTTTGTTTTGTTTGCTTAATTTCTTTTATACATCGTTCTAGATTTATTACAGTATTTGAATAGAACATGTGGCAACGATTAGATAATTCTTCAAATGATATAAATTTTGTGCATTCGGAGTTATGATATGAAGGAAATATAACACTGTTAAGTGAACCTAGCGCCAGAATGTCGCTATGGTAAACAAATATAGTGAATTTTAAAGAGTGCATTTATTCTATTGTTGTTTATGCGCTATCGACGAAGTAAATTTAATTCAATCCAATAAGTTTAAATGAAATGCGTATACTTTTTTTTATTCTGTACAAAGAAATCATGTGGTGTACACATCAATTTTTTTAATTAGTTACAATTTTTTTAGTATCAGAAAATAAGAAATAAAAATTTTCCAATATATTAAAAATTTGTCTAAAATCTTTTAAAATCCCAATTTCTTCTAAAATTATCTTTCTAGAACATACGATTACATTAGAACTATAGAGCCTTTTATAATGGCCAGCAAAATTTTAACTGCATCTTTAAAATCCCTTAACCTTTGAAATTAGTCAAGTTATTAAAAATATCCTACAAAGGAAGTTTGAATATTTTTTTTTCTTTCATATTTTTTCTCTTAAACAGGTTAGAATAGCACACAGAGTGTGATTTGTCGAATCATTTCTACCATCGCTGAACTCGTAAATTTTACTACCGGGGCGAAACTAAAACTTCTTTCTTTGAAGAAAAGTTAGTTCAATTACAACCCTCTTGAGATCATTCTTCACCACATCCGGCACACTTGCGTGATCAAAGCATTTTAGAAGCTCTTTCACGCTTTTTCTTGCTTAGTTCGATCGTTTTTACGAAGAATTTTAAGGTAGAAATAAATCATCTTTTTTGTCGTGTGCAAAGCTCGTATTGGTTAATTGCGCGAATAAGTTTAAATAAAAATCTGGAAGCGTGCATAATCAAAATCTGCTAATTTAGAAATAATCATTAAATTAAAGAAAATTTAGGAAATTCTTTACATGAGATTCAGTCGCATATAACTATTTAAATGCATTTATTGAATTATAATTTTGTTAACACATATCTTCCCCACAAAAGGAATATAATACTTGATACTGGAAACATTTTCTTAATTGCAGTAATGTATTTTAAATTATATTAGTTAAATATCTAAAAAAATAAAATAAATGCTGTTATCCTAACAGAATTTACTTTATTTTAATTTTATTACTGTTACGGAAGACATTTATTAAACTATTAAGAAAGGAGCTTATGTCTTTTACAACTGCCCAGTTTATGAAGCAACTGCAAATTAAATTATTTCAAAAGAAAAATTGAAGATCTTACATTTAGCCGAGTGGCAAAACTGTGAAAGATAATACTGTGAGAGGCACTATGAAGATAATTTAACACTTCACGTGTACCGCAGTGGCAGCAAGTTCAGTGCATGGCCAAATGTAACGTAATGTTCAGCAATTTATAAATATTATGTTATGAATATGTTCACAAAAAAGGTAAGCGGACTGTATATATCACTAGTTTATTTTACATAACACTTTCAAATAGAAGGAATGCCGTCCACGTGACGACACAGCTCACATCACTCCAAGCACAGTAGCAAAAAGAATAGAATACAAATCACATAAATTATGAGTTGAAAGTTCGTTACCATAGCAACCAGAATTGAATCATCAGGCAGCAACGCCATCTATTGTTGCAAAGACACACTAGTAATTCGTTTGGTACGAAAAATACTAAACATAGCCCCCGGCCTTGAAGCCTTCTAAGGGTTCAAAAAAGACAAATAGTTAAAGCATACATAGTAACATTAACAAAAAAATTAATTGGAAATATAACTAAAATTAAAGTTCAATAATATGAAAAAAAGTCAATAGTTCATAGTTCATATTAGTCATGATTGGGGATAAGACACAATTTAGTAACAGCTCGTTTGAAATCACCAGCGGCTGTATGGATTGTAGCCACTCGAACTTTTTTATCACTACCTGGATGAATTAAGGCAATTCTTCCAATTTTCCATTGGTTTGGAGGCAGTTGTTCGTTTTTGATCAGAACTAAATCACCACATTTTAGATTTGGAGACGCACGAAACCACTTAGCACGTTGTTGAAGTGTTGTTAAATATTCTGCACACCATCGTTTCCAAAAATGTTGCACAGTCTGTTGAACTAGAGACCAACGTTTAAGTCGTGAAGATTTCACATCACTCAAGTCAGATTCCGGAATGGCAAGCAAAGGGGCTCCAATCAGAAAATGACCTGGAGTCAATGCACTAAAGTCGTTTGGATCACTAGACATCGCACAAAGAGGACGGGAATTCATACACGCTTCCACTTGTGTAAGCACTGTTAAAAATTCCTCGTAAGTTAGAAGTGTGGATCCTAATACTCGTTTAAGATGAAATTTCATGGATTTCACATTAGATTCCCACAAGCCACCGTAGTGAGGAGATGTCGGAGGATTAAATAACCAAGTTATACCTTCTGAGGTAATGTAGTCACATAATTCACTGCTTTTCTCAATGCGAGCTGCATTTTTATAAATCTCCTTCAGTTCCTTACTAGCACCTTTGAAGTTAGTAGCACAGTCACTCGAAATTTTAGATGGTTTGCCTCGTCGGGCGATAAATCTTTTTAGAGCTGCTAAAAACGTTGAAGTTGATAAATCACTGACTAACTCCAAGTGTACAGCTTTTGTTGAGAAACACACAAAAATGGATACGTAACACTTGAAAGTTTTTGTTCTTCTCCCAACTTGGGACTTAATAGAATATGGACCAGCATAATCAACACCGGTGACTGCAAAAGGTCTTGATGGTTGAACTCTGGGCGAGGGTAAATCACCCATTATCTGGGTCACAGTCTTGCCTCGATTTCTAATACAAGGAATACATCTGTGAATAATCTTTCTCACTACGCTTCTCACCGAAAGAATCCAAAACTGCATTCGTAAAGTGCTTATTAATAACTCTTGACTAGCATGCAAATAATTGACATGGTAATGAGTTACGATGAGATTAGTGACATGTCCTTCCTTTGGAAGCAAAATAGGATGTTTGCTATTTTCAGGAATGTTTGCATTTTTTAAGCGACCACCTACTCGAATGACGCCTTCTTCATCAAGGAAGGGAGTTAATTGTATTACTCGGCTGCTCACACCTTTTAATTCTCTCGATGTTTTTAAATAAGAGAGCTCTTGAGGAAAATATGATTCTTGGACATTTTTTATCACTGTTTTTGTAGCTAATCGAAGCTCATCGGTTGTCAGAAAACCTCTCAAACGATTTTCGGAGAAGTTTCGACAGTTGTAAATAAATCTTAGGCATAATGCAACTATACGACGTAATTTTGTCCAAGATGAATACCGTTTAAAAATGTCATTTTCCTTTACCGCACAAGATACTGAAATGCAAGTTTTTCTTTCTTCTCTACGAACTCCTTCATAATCTACATCAGCAAAGATGTTCACTGTCAGGACATGGTTCGAAATCTTGTGAATATAACCAAGTAGGTCCAATGAACCATCGCTCACACTTCAGAAATTCTGCTGGAAACATTCCTCTTGTACCTGAATCAGCTGGGTTCCGCTTTCCATTGATATGGTTCCACCTTACATTAGGAATTGTATTCTGTATTTTAGCAACGCGGTTTGCAACAAAGGGAACCCAACGGTATGGTTCTGCAGAAATCCAGGACAGTACAACAGTTGAATCTGTCCAGGCCAAAACTTTACGTATAGGAAACTCTAAATGTTCTAACACTGATTTAAGCAAATTCACTAACAAAACTGCGGCGCATAACTCTAATCGAGGTAATGATTGCACTTTCAGAGGGGCAACTCTTGTTTTTGATGTTAAGAGTGTTACTTTGATGTCCAAATTACGTGACACTGAACGCAAATAAATTGCTGCACAGTAGCCTTTCTCGGAGGCATCACAAAAAGCACAGATATCAATATAGTTCACGTCAGGAATCAAAACAAATCTCGGTATTTTTAATTGTTGAATAAGATGTAAATCATTTCGGAAAATCTTCCATTTGTTAGCAATCTCATCACTAACAGGTTCATCCCACGATAAATGGAGTTTCCACATGTCTTGTATCAAGATTTTGACATAAATAATACAAGGAGCAAGCCAACCCAATGGGTCAAATATTTTCGCTAAATCAGAAAGGATATCTCTTTTAGAGTATTTAAACTTTTCACCAGAAATGGATACGGAAAAGTTAAAGTAGTCTTCACGGGGGTTCCAATTAATTCCTAAAACTTTGATTGAGCTATCGTCTTGAATTTTCATAGCCTCAGAATCATTTCTCAACTCCTGGGGTATATTCTCTAACACTGACAAGTCATTGGATGACCATTTACGCAGAAGAAATCCTCCACGTTCTAACATTTGCAAGAGTTGATTTACTAGATTTTTGCACTCTTCAGTGTTTTGAGCACCTACCAAACAATCATCTACAAAAAAGTTTTGAAGTACAGCCTTCGAAGCTAAAGGATAGTTATTCTGCTCATCGTAGGCAAGTTGGTATAAAGCACGAGTAGCCAAATATGGAGCCGAGGCAGTGCCGTATGTGACAGTATTAAGTCGAAATTCTTGAATAGGATCACTTGGACTGTCCCGCCAAAATATCCTTTGAAAGTTTCTATCCTCTTCATTAACTAGAATTTGTCTAAACATTTTCATGATATCAGCTGTGACAACTACTGGGTAACATCTGAATTTGACCAAAACTGGAAACAGCTCTTGTTGTATTCTGGGACCTGTCATCAATATGTCGTTAAGAGATAGTCCTGATGAAGACTTACTAGTAGCATTAAATACCACACGTATTTTACTCGTAGAGCTAGATTCCTTAATTACTGCATGATGTGGCATGTAGTATGCCTGACTTGGGGACTCTGAACTACGGACTGGTTCCATGTGCCCGAGATCCAAGTATTCCTTCATGAAATGTTTATACATATCATATGTATCAGGAGATCTTAAGAGATTTCTCTCTAAAGATTTAAATCTTTGTAAAGCAAGATCTTTAGAATTACCCAACCTTGAAGGGTTATCTTTAAATGGAAGTTTCACTACATAACGACCATTTTGATCACGGAAGTGTGTTGTTTTAAAGAACTCTTCACATTTTTTATCTTCACTTGAAATACGTTTGACTTCCGGAATGGAGTCTAAAGACCAAAATCTTTCAACTAATTCGTTTGTATTCAACTGAAGATTATTCACTGTAAAAGTGTTAGTTAGATTCGAATCATCAGTAATAGTGTTCCCGGAAATGATCCAACCCAACTGAGAACAAATTGCAAAGGGTAATGATTCTCCTCTCTTTATGATGTCTCCCTTAAGCATAGTAAAAAATACATTTACACCTAACAAAATATCTATAGGTTTTCTTTCATAGAACTTAGGATCAGCTAAGACTAGATCGTCAAAATGATTCGCAATTTTAGAAGGAAGCGACACGTTAGGCACATCTGAAGTTATCCTTGGAATCACGAATGCATATGTTCGAAATTTGGAATTTGACTCAAAGTGCGGGGTAAAGATTAATTCCACTTCTCCACTTGTTACAGTGTTGAACGAACCAAGGCACGATACTTCAATTTTTTTGTTAAATCTACCTAACTTTAGTTTACTGACACACTCTTCACTTATAAAGCTGGCTTCACTGCCACAGTCTAGTAAAGCCCTGCAAGGGATGGCTTTACCATTGGAATCACTAACTTTAATGAGAGCAGTACACAGTAATACACGTTTTGATTCACCTTTAGAATAACTAAATTGTCCTGTACATGTTGTGGCATTTGTAACGACTTCATTCTTTGGTAAGAACACTTCGGCTTTGGGGGAGAGTGAGGACGTTTGTTTTGGTTTCTCATTTTCACTAGTTTTGATATTTCGATCAAAATGAAGAACAGTATGATGAGGTAACTTACACGTCATACATTTATGTAAACTACGACAGTTTTTCACTAAATGAGGCTGAGAAGATAAACAATTAAAACAAAGTTTGTGTTTCTTAACAAATTCGATTCTTTTTTGGACACTTAAGTTTAAAAACTTACCACATTTGTGAAGAGAATGATCTTCCTTGCACATTATACAACTGTTTTTACTCGACACTAAAGAAGTTAATTTGGAATTAGAAAATTTCCTAAAATCTTTAGATTGGTTTCTACTATTCTGAAGGGTTCTAGCGTGGTCTTTTAGAAACTCGAGTAAATTATCTAAAGTACCTAATTCATCTTTTTTCAAAGTTCTTTCCCACCAAAATTTTATGTTTTTATCTAATTTCTCAGTTATCAGATAAACAAAAACAAAAGAACATCAGAAAGATCAGAAACTTCTAGCTTAAGAGTTCTCAAAGAGCGTATACACATTCATTCACTACATCAACACAATGTAAAATAGCTTGAGCTGAATCAGAAACATTTGGCAAATTAAACATTTTACGGATTAATGCATTAGTTAATTCTCTTTTATTAGAATAACGTTCCTGTAAAAGTTGCAACGCTATATCATAATTAGCATCAGAAATAGGAATTGACTCAATAATAGACAGAGCCTTTTTTTTACAAGAAGCCTTTAAATATTGAAACTTCTGACATTTAGAAATATTCGGATTGTTATCTACACTAGCCTTAAAAAGATCATAGAAACTAATCCACTCATCTATATTTTCCCCTGTAAAGGTAGAAAGTTCTAATTTTGGTAATCGAACGTCAGACGAATTTACTTTTGCTACACTACTTGTTTCGATAACAGAGTCACTGGAAAGTTTCTGTAACTTTTTATTTATAGTTATCCATAATTCATCTAAAGTTTCTTGTATTGTTTGTTGTTCCGTAATGAATGTATCACAATCTTTTTCAGGACACAACAAAAATATTTCCTCATAAATAGAACGAAGCTCACTGTTAAAAGCATTTAGTTTCGTTTCGAACAACTTTACCTCTAAAATTTCTGCTTGTTCTAAATTCGAATTTACCTTGGCTTTAAACGTTGTTATATTGCTTTTTAGAACCTTCTTTTTAGTTAAAACTGGTTTCAAATCAGCCATTATGAATAACAATAAATATTATACTAACAACTCTAGCAAAAGAAGATGAAATATTGGAACGTACTCACCCCAAAGTTGAGGTTTCTACGCTACACCATGCTACGGGAATATTCCACAAATCGAAAGTGATTTAACTTGCTAATATTTGAATAAATCACATCATATTCAAAGTTCGCTAATTCTTCTCTCCGGCTCGACGGACCAGGAATGTTATGAATATGTTCACAAAAAAAGGTAAGCGGACTGTTTATATCACTAGTTTATTTTACATAACACTTTCAAATAGAAGGAATGCCGTCCACGTGACGACACAGCTCACATCACTCCAAGCACAGTAGCAATTAATAAAACAAAACAGAATCGAATACAAATCACATAAATTATGAGTTGAAAGTTCGTTACCATAGCAACCAGAATTGAATCATCAGGCAGCAACGCCATCTATTGTTGCAAAGACACACTAGTAATTCGTTTGGTACGAAAAATACTAAACAATTATTTTAAGAAGATTTATGAACTTTTAAGTAGAGACGTAAGAAGTCATGAAATCCTTTCATCTGAATGTAGATTTTATATTTACCAGTTTCCTTCTACATTATAGCTAGTGTCAAAATGCAGCATAGAACAGCATTTCTTATAGAAAAATTATTAAATTTGTAAAATAATTGTTTAGTTGGTAATTTTAAAGAAACGTTAAATTTTAATAAAGGAACTTAGTTTTCAACACATGTTTAACAAAACTTACAATCAATTGCTTGTTACAGTTTAATTAATTTTCGTTTTCCGAAAAATCCGAAATACTTCATATTTGTGCAACTGCATTCTTTTCTAATGAGATAAAAATTATTTTTATATGAATATGTTCTACATCTAAAAAACAGAATTTCATAAGTAGCTTACAATTTTCAGGCTAATGGATCTGTTCATTTAATAAACTATATAAAACAGGATAAGTAAATCAGCGGAAGTTTGTATAACACCCTCACTGACTTTTGAACATAGCTTTAGAAAAACTAAGAATTTCTCATTCAACATGAAATCCATTTAATGTGTCCGGTATAAATTTAAATATGCCATTTTTCTAACCCAAAGGTAAAGTCGGGAAAATTATTGCTGCATACAAAATCTTGGAGAATAATTATGTAGACAAACTGATAAGCATGTGAAATTGTAATCTTATTCCCAAATAAATAAATTGACAAGAAAAATACAACTACAATTAAGTAACCTAGGCTCGATTAATATTACACAATTCACAATTCTTTAACTGTACTGTAGTGGACAAAAAATATAATCCTAGCTACAGAAATATTTATTTTATTTAAATTCCTAAGATTTGTTAACATATTTTGATTTCATTAACATATTAAAGTCACAATCTACACATGCAAATAAAGACTTTATCCTGAACTCCTGAATAAATATTTATATTAAAAAATTTAGACTGACAAAATCAACTGTACAGAATAAGAGGAAGATGAGGGTACTCACATGAGCAGAATTTGGGGACTTGTAATCTAAAGCAAACATATACGATTCTGAAAGATAACACACAAAGGCTCAGACAGATGAGTTAATGTAACCTGTCCTTATGCAGTCACTTATAGTTTTTAGTATTATTCGTTGTTGTTTGTAGAGTGTGGCTGTTCTCTACATCATGCCAATAGCAGCTCGTATTACACTTCATAGACAGAACGCTCAATTGGGTTTATGCACATTATCAGTCGGAAGCATGTATGTATTCTAAGTTGCTAACCAGTACCCGTCTAGAACAGTCTCTTTTATAATACTTCGTAAACAGGATCACAACGCCCAGCTAATCGCGCATCATCAATTAGTGCCAGAAGGCGGTATTTAAAATCGCTAAATCAGGAATTTGAATGTTTATACACTCTTTTACTTCCCTCATTAAAGAACAGTCCCGAAGACAGAGTTTTGGTTGATCATCACTTTTGGTGTCATTAATTCGGGATTACGCAAAGCTTTGCATTACGCAAAGATCTGTGTGTTGCATTACCTCAAATCTGTCTGATCTATGTGTTGCATTACTCAAAGATCTGTGTTTTGCGTTACTCAAATCTGTGTGATCTATGAGTTCATTACGCAAAGATCTGTGTGCTGTTCTTTTCACGTTTCATACGCAACGTATATCTGATTAAACAACGTTGCATGCGCAACGTGAAAAGAACAGCACACAGATCATCGCATTTTCTTCACAGGAGAGTTTTCGTTCATGTCCTTCTCCCTCACGACTCTAAATCACTAAATACAATTGATCGACAAAAACTGTCCTATTTAACCGCAGACCTAATTAATTGCTAGTTAAGCTATTAATTAAAAGGTGTCTTCTGACGCATCCACGCCACACTTGAACTTAATTGATCAATCACAGTCCGCCACAACCTTTTTAGAATTAATTATAATCACGTAGCAATTCGAATATAGGCACCATACACATTTTCTACAGCGCCCCAAGAAAGCTGAGTAACTTATATTTCTCATATAATTCGCCCAGATAATTTCTCACCTCAATAAAACGTCTCTTAGGAAAACAATACTTTTTTACTGTACACACAAAGGACCATTTAATCGATCAATAATATGTTCCAAGTGCAGCTTTTTTTTTACAAACCTACCACATCCATTTATCTTCCATAGCGAAATAAATTTTAATCTTCCAGGCTTTCAAATAAAGGATTCTTGATTCAAGAGCACATTTGATCCTTAGATGGGCCCCTCGTGGCTGGCATCTCATTAAGGAGCATAAAACATTCTCTTTGTCTCCGCAGCATACGCGGAAGACGAAAAGATTTTTAGTCTTACCTACATCTAAATTTTTACCCCGACCGCTCACCCCTATTTCTTTTGCACTTCCTGTTAAGAAATCTACAACATTTAGAAATAACCCTGAAGCCAGAATATGTAGGATGCACAGTTCTTCAGTTATTTAGATATTTATGGTATGCTAGAAAATAATTTAAATTCAACATTAAATTTTAGGATAAAACTGTTAGATATATTTTGTTAAGGTCTTCTTTTGTTGCAAATAATATTAATTCATATGTAAAAAATCGATTCTTGACACATTTCTATTGACATATACATTGTAAAATATTATTTGAAGTACTTCCTATCGGAGAGCGGTAAAATAAAGATAAACATCCTAAAATCAACTGTTTAAAATTAGAGAACGGTTTACATATCGCAAACGCTATCAATAACTTACAGTTAGTAACGAAATTAAGAATGATTTAAACTTTGAAGAAATCAAATATTTTCTGAAATATTATTTAGTATTATTTTATCAAAAGAAAAATGATTTGTTTAACTGAATCAAGACGATATAAAAGAGACAATTTAGGAACTTACCCTCTTTAGACATGATACTTTCAGCCTCGTATTGGTTTACCAATATTATGGGAATGCGTCATCGAGTAGCTGTAGCGCCAAGCCGTAGAGAAAGGACCTTTGATGCCGAGTGCTACGACAGAGTGAACTGCGCAATCATTCGCAGAAGGACGTTAGTAAGAGCGTGACGACGATGACGTGTATATATAAAGGACCTCATTCAAAGACGAATATGTGTAAAAGACGTTAGTTTTGCTTCATCTGTAAATACTCATCTATTTCCTGCCACATATGTAATCACCTTGTAGTTTGTACTAGCTATTCATGTTTCCATTAAATATTCGAGTTTTTCATAAAATGGATTCGTCATTTCAAGCCCCTAGACAGCCACCTAGGAAGTAAGTTCACATTCATTATATTTCTGGATAGAACAAAACTTCCTACAATATCTTTCAATTATAGCGATATCCCAAAAAAATATAGATATTCATCTGAAGCCAAAAAATGAATAAAGTGTTTCTATGAAAAATGTAAATTGTGTCAATATAAAAAATGGAAAATAAGTTTAGTAAAACGTAACGAAGCAGAAGAAAATCTCTGAGTCCTTTCATTCTTTGCTTCTCAGTACCACTCTGAAATCATAAGCTTGAAGACAGCAGAGCAAAGCAGAGTGACAGCCGAGTTAATTTGCTCTTGTAAAAAGAAACAAAGTGTTAAAAAAATGGTATGGCTCAAAGCGCGACATTATTTTATAACTGCTTCCCTTTTAAAAATTATTTTGATCATGTAAAAGCTCGTTCCATTGTGACTTATGGGAATTTCTCTCAAAACTGTTGTAAGCGAATTCATCTGTTTTTACTTTTTTTCCCACTAGAAGTGTAACGGTATTGCGATGATCTCGTCATCAGGTGTCTGAATAATAGCTGATTGTCTGTTTATCTATGATCCCACCAATGTCATGAACATGAAATAATCAAATAACAAGAAAATTGCAATCTTCATAAGAATCCTATTTAAGAGGGTATGCTATCTCAAATTTGAGTAATAGGAAATGTAGTAACAAATACCTTATATGCATTCAGATGGGATATTAATAGAATAGTAAAAGGGAATACTAGTTACCTTGTATAATTTTGCAAATTAAAGAAAGGATTAATAATGGTACAGAGATTAAATGGTTATAGCTTTATTTCACATGCGTATCAAGTCATTTGAAAATACGTCATACATCTGTTCATGATTTCTTATTTAACGTGAATTATTTTCCAGTACACTAAAAGCTAAAGAGCTATTAATACTGAAGAATATATATTGCATAAAAATTCAACTGTGAGTTACCGTACGCCTTTTGCCAGATGAAAATTTAAAGTATTATTTATGCTTATGCTTCAAAATTATGTTTTGAACAACTTGGTTTAAAATGCAAGTTTCAGATTTTAAAATGGTAGCAAGTAATTAATTACTTTTATCTAACAGAAACTTACGAATATTTATATAATGAATAACAATACTCTTTAGTTTCACTTTTAGAAAATTATTTTCTTTGTCGACGAAGAGGACGATAAAAATAATCTGGGAAAATTTAATATCACGGATAAAATGAATTTTTCTCTGAACTTTAAAGAGATGGAACAGCTTTAGCTTTTATTTTGTTATATTTTAATTACAAGTAAATAAATGATCCTCTCTTCTGTTTCTATATCTACGACCATTAACATAAAGCTTGTAAAATCTTTAAAATCCTGCCCAATCGCAAGAAAATATTGAAAGTGGTGGTACAAATGCCAGTGTTGTTCCTCGGTATGAAATGGCTTTTCATATTTCGTTATGACCATAAAACCTACAGAAAAATGTAAACTCAAACATAATTGATCTTATAAATGCATGCCTTCAGATTCTTGTGACTACACTTTCTTTCCTTATAAAGCACATCTGACACCGATAGGATTTATATAATATGCGTTTGTATTTTAAATTTAGGAATTATTCCAAGACGCAGTTTTAAAAGAATGTATTCTTCTTAAAATTACTAGTAAGGTGAACTTCAAATTATAATAATCCTATAAAATACTATTAAAAATATTTTGTTAAAGTTTTATTCATATTTATAGGCCTCTAAATACATTATAAAGTACGTGAGTAAACATTTCGTTCTTTTAACAGCGAATATTACTACCTATTTTACACATACATCAACTAAGTAAATATATCTTACTCAGTAAATATATATATATATACAAGAAAAAGTTTTAAAAATGTTAAATTCAGGCTATAAACTTATCATAATCACCCAGACACTCAACCCATTATACTATACAGTTTAAACATGCAATGATGTTGAGGAAACTTACATCACACGTGATATCCATGGGTCACTCTTATTTAATATTCAAAATAAAATATTATTACGATACTTTTAGTAACCTTTACACTAATTTAAGGCCCCTGTCTTCACAGTAAGAAGCGATGGACTCACAGTCCAACTTATTAAATTATTTGTACTTTTAACGAAGTTACGCGGGTGACTTCTAGAGGTCACGTTTAATCCGTGCTAAATAAAAGCTGGAAAGTAATCTCTTGCAAATTATTTACATTATAATGAGTCCCATTATATTCTGGTATTTTAGAAGAACCCTTATATTATGAGCAAATACCTAATAATGTATATCATAGAATCTCCTTTAGCTCGAAAAAGAGTAACCAGAGACATCGCTTCGAGAAAATGGTGAATGGTTGTTTACTGTTTCTGATATTATAATCTCAAGAGCAAATCCTCCAATTCCTATATCTTTCGAGGCGACACTTCTGATGTACCAACCACAATGTCAATTCGTAATATAAATATTCAACTAAATTCGTATTTAGTAAATTTAGAAGTCATGGTATTAGATGAAATTTAAGATCTCCTCTTCAAATTTTCTTGACGATACTAGTATTATTATGATATGACGATACTAGTTACTATTATGATATGTTGTGTTATTCTGTTGGTAATTACTATAACGAAAGGAAGTAGAGGGGATATGAACGTAGATCTTAATGTGCACCGGGGAGGTGAAATAACTGGCAAATGTCAATGGTTAATCTTCTGGGAAAATGAGTCCTACATTTTCCTATGGAAATATCGTGCATGGCATGAAGAATTAACGACAAGCTGGAGAACAGCTCCAAAGACCTCCAGATATTATGAATAAGGAACCCTTTATTTTATCATGAATGAGGAACTGTCATTTTGTCTATTTTAAGCTTCGTGTTCTGTGCAGCTCCAAAGACCAAAGACAAAGACCTCCAGATATCATGAATATCATGAACAGCTCCAAAGACCTCCAGATATCATGAATGAGGAACCCTTTATTTTATCATGAATGAGGAACTGTCATTTTGTCTATTTTAAGCTTCGTGTTCTGTGCTTCGTAACGACGACGAAGCAAAACAAAAGAATGCGTATTGGGTAGTACAGCTTGAAGTAAAAGAATTAACTTTATTTTAGAATTGTCTACTCAAGATGTGAAATTTCGATAAAAATGAGAGCTTATCTGAACTCTATATCGCATGCTCATCACTCTGATTGTTTACATTTTTTTTATGCTCACTAAAGTTTTTCCTGACTTCATTCTGCTTCTGAAATAGTGTTATTATGGTAGAGTGAGTTGTAATAAGTGTTGTGTGATAACTTTTAATAACAGAAACATAGCTCTTTAATCACACTTTATTATAATGAAGGCTTTTTTATCAACAAACTAGAAATTTTCGTGCCTGTTTCCTTTTAACTAGTTCATTAGCAGGCACTCATACTTCCTTTTAAAACAAAACTGGAAACTGGAAACAAAACAGGACACATACTTTTTGTCCGTTTTTCATTACGATGTTTCTGCTGTGTTTCATTGCGTAGTTTCATAATTTTTTTAGAACAAGAATAGTGTTATCCATACTATATTTGTATGAAGTCCAATACCACAATATCACGAAACTTAACGCCTCATTAAATTTCAATTAAAGCATTTTTTAATTTCTTTCAGTACAATCAAAAATCAAAGCTTATGTGGTAGTTATAACTGAGCATTATTTTTATATTTCTTAAATGAAATTAATTAAAATATAACGAAATAAGAATTCAAAGTCTGAGGGATAGAATGGAATTTCAGGGTACGGAACAAAGAATGAATTTGTGTTCCTTGAGTGATGGGCACCATAATGCATTTTTTGAAAGTTAATATGAAGGTGTAGCTCGCCTTTACGAGCATTCCCTTAATAATTTACATTTGAAAAGTATTAAATTAGCACAATTATTAATGAGAGAACCTCTAAGCATATTTCTGCTTTTATGAAAAAAGAAGAAACAAAATTATGGTTCAATAATTTCTAATTAATATTTCACATACTTTAATTGTGAAAAGCCGATAAATTAATAGCAGCTTTACAGGATAATTTCTCGTTTCACAACGAATACATAACAGGCGAAAAATGTGCCATTCCTAGTAACAAATATAATATCCTATTGCAAGGCTTTGGCATTTTCGGAACATAGAACGAACTCTACTTCTGACATTGTGGATGGCTTAGGAATTGTACAGCGGCAGCGGTTTTAGTAATATGAATGGCGATAAAATGCTAAAAATCTAATCTAAATTCTCTGCATTTTCCACTATCCAATCTTCAACAACTCCCTTTAATGCTCGATCATCACTTCAGTGACTTTAGGTCAAGAAGTGTGTTCGCTTTTTTTTAATTTAAAAGAATAAAACACACTGGGCATATGTTATATTGTATAGATATTAATCTCTCATATAATACTTTCCTTCAGTAGTATTTAATTCTAAGCGTTTTCTAATATTTTTTACAGGTTTGTGCAGACATGGAAATTGTAAAACATTTCTTCATAAAAATTAGGGTTAATTACTCCTTCTCTTTATGCCACTTCAACTTATGCAAGGTTTCATAAGAATTCTCAATAGTCGTAAAATCGGAAAAACCTGCACTGTAGTGGGTACGGAAATTGACCAAAATACGGCCTACGGATGTGGTACGGAGAAA